TGTGCTGGGTGTGTATTTTAGCATGAACCCTGGGCTGCAGGTGGGGAAGAGAAAATGAACTAGGGCAGCTGGGAGCTAGCGAAGAGAGCATTGCATACAGCCCTGGTGACCGCAGGAGGTGCCAGGTCCACGTCCTCTTTGGGGCAGTGCTTAGGCACCCACAGTTAGGGATTCTGAAAAGTGTTTGAATTTGTTTTAAAATAGGAGGAAGGTATATTTTAAGCGGAAGTATGTCTCAATTAAAAAAAAAAAAACAACCACCAAATTTACGTGTTTTGTTTTCAAGACAGGGTTTCTCTGTGTAGCCCAGGCTTGCCTGGAATTCACTTTGTAGAGCAGGCTAGCCTTGAATCTAAAAATCAGACTGCGTCTGCCTCCCTGAATGCTGGGGTTAAAGGTGTGCGTCACCACTTTCTGGCAAGATAATAGTATTTCTTTACCACAAAGTATTAAATGATAATTTTTTTAATATTTTTGTGGCAGCAGGGTCTCAGTAAGGCGAAAATGGCTGGGTCCTCCAGCGTCACGCTCCTGGGACCCAGAAGAAAGAGGAAGAGTAGAATCTGGACCCCAAATGCAGGACAATGGCGACACTGCAAGGAAGCAGGCGTAGCCTAAGGGTCAGGGGTCAGAGGGAGGAGGCAGGCTGAACCGGTGTCCAAGGCCATAAGGGGCCAGGAAAGTAGGACAGGGAGGAACCTAAAGAGTGGGACAAGGCCCTCAGCCTGCGCACCTGGGGCAGCCAGAGCAGTGACTGGTAGGTGCCACCGGTCTGACCTCCCACCGGATACCGAGGTCACTGCGCCTGCGCAATTCAGCTCTGGGCACGTGGGACCCCTTAGGACCTTGGGCCAAGGGATTCCAATTCTGCCACTGCTGTATCCAAAAAGTCCTTTCTGGTTAACTGGACAGTTCAACTCCTTCTGGGTGAGGTAATGCTGCTTCAGCTCGCCTTCCTAGTCACACACACCCCTTGCTCCAGTTCTCTCTTCTTGGAGATGGCAACGCCCAGCATCTCAACCTATGGCTTTTCCTCCATCCTGATCCACGTGGTGACTCATGGGTATTGAAAAACTCTCCACTCCTCCCTGTTTCCCCCATCCAACTGTGGGGTGAGGGGACACGTGAACACTACCCGCTTAGCCTTTACCCTCCATATGGGCACCTAGCCCACTCCTTCCTCTTGGCTTGCAAACCATAGGAACCAGCCATCGCTTCTTCTACTTCAATGCTTCCACCTCCAGTCCCTCTTTGACAGACTAGATCAATGCAGGTGCTGAACTCTCAGCCCTTCTAAAATGTCAAGTCCGTCTCTACCCACTCCTGGTCTTGCTGACTTGTAACTCTTTCTTATAGCACCCCCACAGCTGTATCAAACCCGAGTTACATTTTATTTTCTTTCCCTCCTCCCTCCCCCTTTTAAAAAGCTAAATTCGATGTTCACAGAATTACAGACGAATACTCTGGTCTGCCAAAGAGCCTTCAGCCACACCTTTTTCACTTAGCCTTCTCTCTCTGGGAGCCACACCTGAAGACTGAGACTCAAAGCTCCCCTCCCCTTAACACCGCTGCCCCACTGCCGCCCCTCCCCCGTGCCCTAGCAGGCTTCCTCCACTTCTGCAAAGCAGCTCACAGCCAAAGGTGCAGGCAGGGGTGGGCAGGGATAGGGTGGGGAGAAAAACCGAGCAAACTGGCTTCCAGATGAACCTTCCCTTTACAGGAAAACTCTTACTTAACAAATGCCTATGCTGCCTGCGGGATCTGGGTGTCACTATTTTGCCTCTCTCAGAGGTTGGTTAAGTGTACTCATGTGATTTCCATGTGTGGTCATTTTATGCATGTGGATGCATTTATTTGTTTATTATCTGCGCCCATGTGAAAAAAAATATTTTCAAAAGTAGCTAGTCCACCAAGGCCCATTATTCCATACCCACCCCACCTTCTTAAACCTTATGCAAAACAATTAAAATATTTTAGTCGTTCTCATTGTGGTGATTTGAAAGAAAATGACCCCAAAGGGAGTGGCACTATTAGGAGGGGTGGCCTTGTTGGAGGAAGTGTGTCACTGTGGGGGTGGGCTTTGAGGTCTACTATGCTCAAGCTACACCTAGTGTCACAGTTCTTTCTGTTGCTTCTGGATCAAGATGTAGATCTTTCAGCTCTTTCTCCAGCACCGTGTCTGCTTGTGAGCTGCCACATCCTCTCATGAAGATCATGAACGAAACCTCTGAAACTGTAGGCTACCCCCAATTAAATGTTCTCCTTTATAAGAGTTGCTGTGGTCATGGTGTCTCTTCACAGCAAAGGAAACCTTAACTAAGACAGTCATCTTGTAAAACTTTTATCATTTCTCATTTTCAGTTCAGCCGACCCTGCCACAGTTTAACTTCATCTATTTGGGTCCTCTGGTGTCCCTCAGCTCCAGCTTTCAACTTGACACAGCCCAGAGGTCCCTGAGGCTGTCTCAATTGGGGATGACCAAGATCAGGTTGGCCTGAAGCCATTTCTGTGAGATATTCTCTTCACTGATAATTGAAATGGAAGGGCCCAGCGACTGTGGGAGGCACCATTCTTACACACGTGGACTTGGACTATAGAAGAAATGCAATTGAACATAGGAATGAGCAAGCCAGTAATCAGCATTTCTCTAGGGTTCTTACATCCAAGTTCTTGGCTGGAGAGCCTTTCTAACTTTCCTCAAAGATGGACTGTGACCTGGGAATATGAGCTGAAATAAATCCTTTTGTCCCCAATTTACCTTTTGGTCACGGTACTTATCACAGCAACAGAAAACAAACTAGGGCCATTCAATTACCTCTGTTACCTGAAAGTCAGCAACAACAGAGATCCCAATTTTGGGGGGGGGGTTGGTTTGTTTTTGTTTTTGTTTTTTGAGACAGGGTTTCTCTGTAGCTTTGGTGCCTGTCCTGGAACTAGCTCTTGTAGACCATGCTGGCCTCTAACTCACAGATATCCGCCTGCCTCTGCCTCCCAAGTGCTGGGATTAAAGGTGTGCGCCACCACCGCCCGGCTTTAAATTTTCTTGAGAATTCTATATGACAGTACTTTCTTTTAATTGTGTTTACCCCCTCTTCCTGCTGGAACTCCTCCGTGTTCAGCACTTCCTGTAAGCTTCATGAACTGTTCTTTATTACTGTACATAGGCACACATATGTATACATGGATTCAGTCTGCTGAGCTCACTTCGTGATGCTCGTATTTGTATATATTTAGGGCTGACACTCGGGATAGGGTAAGCTCTCAGGGGTTTGTCCCTGTAGAAGGCTGATTGTCCTCTCAGCAGCCATCTGTTGTCTATAGTTTTCCATGTGTGGTTAGGGCCTTTTCCCTGTCCACACTGCAATGCCAACTTGTGTTGTCAGTGTGTAGTCTTGTTTAGGTGAGTCTAGTTTTGAGATTTCATGAGAACAGCTCCCAGTCCTATCTTGAAGACACAATCTCACAGCAGCCCTTCCTTCTCTTTGTCTCTTAGAATTTTTCCATTGCTTCTTCCTCAGTGTTCCCTTACCTTCAGGTGTGGGGCTAATTTTATAGACATATCAACTGTGGGTGGGTCTCCCATGGTCAATAATTCTCTGCATTTTGACCAGTTGCAGATTTCTATGATGGTCCCTGTCTTAGTCAGTATTCTATTCTTGTGAAGAGACACCATGGTCGAGGCAATTCTTATAAAAGAGAGGATGTAATTGGGGCTTGCTTACAGTTTCAGAGGATTAGTCCATTATGATCATGGCGGGATACATGGTGGCATGCAGGCAGGCTGGGGCTAGGCAAGAGAGTTTTACATCAGAACACACAGGCAGCAGATAAAGAGAGGGAAACTGGGCCTGGTATAGGCTTTTGAAACTTCAAAGTCCACTCCTAGCTACACACCTCTTCCAAAATGATACACCCACTCCACGAGGCCACACTGCTAATCTTTCCCAGTTTATCACCTGGGGACTAAGCATGGGACTCTACAAGCCCATGGGGACCGTGCTCACTCTAAAGCATGCAGATTGTGCTGAAGAAAGAGGCTTCTTTGAGGAGGACGAGAGCTACATTCAGTTGGGAGTGAAAGGATAAGGATTTAGAATGTGGTTAGGAATCTTGCTGGTTTAAGAGAGTGGCAGCTGTAGGTTTCTCTTTAGGGTCCATGACCTCATCAGCCATGGGGAGTTGGCTGGGTTTATTGTAGCAGGCATGAATTCCCTACTATTGAGAAGATATTAAGTCCATTTAGAAGTTTGTTAGTTGTCCCAAAGATATAAATGCAACTAATGCATCCTTGAACATATCTTGCCATGATGATGACTATTGACAGTTGTAGGTTTTACACCTGGGTGGGGCTAATGATGTTTTCCTCCCTTGGTGACTTGACCAACACCTTCACATGTTGTGAGAGAGAATCCTCAGGAGATAGCTCCCAGGTCAGTTTCAGTTTAGTTCCTCCTGGTTTCGTATCTGAAGGGTGTGCTCTGTATGGGAGTCATTATCATTTCATCATTGGTGGCACTAATAAGGATTTATATTAAAAAAAACTTCAATTAATCAAAGGGAAACTTGAATCTCAATATTCTTGCCTATGATTTCTAGTGAGCTTCAAGATTTGTAAAATGTATCGTTGGTTTTGCTTTCCTCGATGGAAGTGAAGTTAAGTTCTGTACTTGATCATAGGAAAATAACCCTTTGCTCCATGGAGTTGCTTCTGTCAGGCATTTGGTCAGAGCAATGAGTGAAGTAACTAACACAGAGTCCGTGCAGCCATACTCTTCTCGTCTTGTAGCCACATGTCGCAATCACATGAGTCAGAAGGTGAGGGAATAGTAGTTTCCTGAAAATCGGGAACTTGACTTGTTCAGCTGGTTTCCTCAGACTCCTCCCTTCTCTGGGCCAGGAGAGTCTTGAAGGTATACCTTCAGCTGCTCTCTGGTGCTGATCTTTTGGATGGTGCATTTGAACACTAATTCTATGTTCAGAGCTTTGTTCCTAGAGAGAAGAGGTCATGTGCGCTTACATGTCCAGAATATTACATTGAAAACTGACTCAGACCTGTTAAAACAAAGGAAACAGAGTGAAGAGAATCACATTGCTTTGGTCCTGGAGTTTGTACAAGCTGTTATTGACTCAGAAGGCTCAAGGACTGAGAGGAGTCACATTCAAACTGAGCTCTCTCCAGAGGACAAAAACCTACTTCAACCTGGTAGGTGCTGCTGATGGGGCCGAAGGATTAAGGAGAGAAGGGTGTGTGGTTACAGAGGATCCTTCAGGCTGGCTTTGAACTGAGTTGATGGTTGTTCCTATGTAATGTGACTTGCAGGGAAGGAAGCATTCTTTCCTTAAGTTCTCCCTAAGAGAGTCAGTAGGGAGCTCATGAGAGCATGCAGGGGTAAAGGCTGGTCTCTGACCCATCTATGTCAGGTTTGGTGTTGGAGACATAACTGAAAATGGTCAGATGAGGACTTTTGCACAATCAGTGACAATTCTTGCTTCCTTATAGTCATATCATTCAAAATGCAGTTCCCTCTCACCGAGAATCTTGTTCTTTGCTCTAAAGAAATTGATGTAAGCAGATTACTCTTATTTAATCTTTTCTACAAAGTGCTGTAACACCTGTTGATATATGCATGTTCACGAGTATCTGCAGCCAAGGTTTTTATTTCCACGCACACATCTATGTCTCAAGCATCTTATCTCCAGGACAGTTTCTACTGTCGCATGCTGGTTTGTAAGATTGTATGATTTCATCCTTCCCTGGCTCTCAAAGTCAAGGTGCTGAGGGGTCAACTAATTTCTATTCTCCACTTGGAAATGGCACTCAGGGAAATGGCAGCACCTCCATAAAACCCATCATTATTTTTTGATTATGCAGCAATCTTGTCATCATTCCAGTGTCAGCTTTGAATATCTCTTATTTGAACATTGCTATGAATAGCATCAAAAGTAAGTCACATTCTGCTGAGGAAATTTTCGATGTCACAAATCTACTTAGATCACTCTCTGCCTTGATTATGTTCTCTTCTTTCTCATTGGTAGTACAGTTGGCCTCATGAATTCATAGACCCCGCAGTTTTGGAATTAACAGACCATTGAGTGATTATATTAAGAAAAGAGTCTAGGGATATGGCTGAGTTTGTACAGCACTTGCTGTGCAGGTGTGAGGGTCAGACTTCTAATCCCTAGAACTCACTTTCAACCCAGCTGGCAAGGTGCCCACCTGTAATCTCAGCATGTAATAGGCATGCGTATAGATATGGTGTCTTTGAGACAAGCTGACTACTCAGACTAACTGAAATGGGGAAATGGAGAGTGATTGTCAGAGTCACTCAATGATAATTACATTCCTTCATATGCACATATGTGATGTAGAATTCCCCTCTTTATATTGGGAATATGTTTTATTACCAATAGTTAATAAAGAAGCTGCTTTGGCCTATGACAAGGTAGAATATAGCTAGGCAGGAAAACTAAACTGAATGCTGGGAGGAAAAAGGTAGAGTCATACAGATGCCATGTAGCCACCCAAGAAGCAAAATGTGAGGTAACAAACTATGAGTCTCATGGTAAAATAGAACATAATAGAAATGGGTTAGTTTAAGATGCAAGAGCTAAGTAGGAATATGCTGAGCTTTTGGTGCAACAGTGTTGTAATTGATATAGCTTTTGTGTGATTATTCTGGTGTGGGTGGCCAGGAAACAAAAGTGCAGTCTCATTCTATATAATGGCACCCAACATGGGACAAGGTATATCCACATAAAGCCTAAGAAAGCTTTAGGAGAAAAAAAGGGGGGGGGGCTTCTAGACGTACAAAAATGGGAGTCAATTGGAGTTTCTTGATAGCTGCATTTTTTTTTTCAGATAGGTTCTGTTTGTTAGCCATAAGCAGAGGTGCAGCTTCTTTAAGAGACAGCTTCCTGGTTTGTACTGGCAGCATGAATAGTGGTTCTTTCAGGAAGTCCTGCTACAGAGCACTTACATGGCATTTGAAGCAGGGTGCTACAAGTTGCTTAGTGGTGACATAGACCTATTGCATCCCTAGAGCTAGGGTGGTGAACATGGTTTGCAGAGGTGGTTAAAAAAAAAAAACCTCTATTATTTTGGATATGTCAGAACCAACAGGCAAAGCTACAGTATTAGTCCTAGCCATGCCTGCTTAGCATTTTAAAAAAAAACCTATCCTGATCAGAAAATTATTACAGATACACAATAAGACAGATTCAGGCAACAAAGACAAGTAAGTCACAGTATTGAATAAATGTCTCTTTCAATTGTAGAGTTTTGGAAGTTGCTTACAATGCATCTTCTGTTTACTTAGGTAATATCATGTCCTTCTGGGGTTTTTGATCAATTTGACAATTAGATAGTTATGATTATAGTTTTCCTTAGTTATGAAAAAAGATAATTTAGATATAAAACTTTAGACTCATAAAGATAAAAAATGATAGAGTATCTTCTTTAATTTAGCCAGATCAAAATAGACTAAATATTATAATTGTAATTCTTGATTGATATCTGTTTTTTTTTAAATATAATTTTTTTATTGAAAAAAAAAAGATTTCTGCCTCCTCCCCGCCTCCCATTTCCCTCCCC